GTTGTTCAGCATCTTAGCTGTAGAGAGCAGTGTCACTGGCCCTCATATGTGGGATCTGAGCCGGGGCCTTCTGGCGTCCCAAACCAGCTCTTAACCAATGCGCCACTCAGCCAGTCCTCTTAATTCTTTTCTTTATGCTTATGAGTTAAAAGTGCAATAATAAATGCTAAAATTCCTTTATAATACAAAAAACAAGTACCTAAATATAAACGAATACAAATTTGAGTTAAAAAAAATTGAAATGAAAGATTTTTTTCCTTGAAAGTTTCGGCCAAAAACGTGAGTGTGCATTATACACGGGAGTGCATTATACACGACAAAATACAGTACGTGTCCCCAGTCAGGGCATTGGATGCAACTAAACTTGGTCTTCAGTGGGGCCCCTTTGGAGCACCACCTGGCAGCCTCCACAGAAAAAAACACCCAAAGGGCAGACTGGCCAGGCATCAGAGCCCTGATAAAGCAAATCCTTCTCTGTAGGGTCAGCTCCTCCACTAATCATAGCCACTCCTCACAACCAATCAGCCTGAGGGTCAATTCCTCTTGTTGACATGCAAACAGCAACCACGGTTCATCTACAGCAGGAGGGCACACACAGCCCACAAAAGGGACACAGCTGGAGCATCCAGCTCAGGTGACTAGAGGACACCTACTATATAAGACCACTCTACTAAAAACAGGAGATATAGAAGCCCTACCTAATACATAGTAAAAACACAAGAATGCAGCCAAAGTTGGGAGACAAACATGTCCCAAATGAAAGAACAGAACAAAGCTCCAGAAAAAGATCTAAACAAAATAGACACAAGCAATCTACCAGACGTAGAGTTCAAAACACTGGTTATAAGGCTACTCAGTGATTTCAGCAAGAGCTTCGCCAAAGAGATAGGAAACATAAAAATGGAGATAGGAAACGTAAAAAAAAGAACCAGTCAGAAATGAAGAATACAATAACTGAAATAATACATTAGAGGGTTTCAACAGTAGATTACATGAAGCAGAGGATTGAATCAGCAATTTAGAAAATAAGGTAGCAGAAAACACCCAATGAGAACAACAGAAAGAAAGTGGAATCCAACAAAATGAGAATTTAAGGGACCTCTGGAAAAACATCAAGCATACCAACATTTGCATCATAGGAGAAGGAGAAGAAAGAGCAAGGAATTGAAAACCTATTTGAAGAAATAATAATGGAAAACTTTCCTAATCTGGTGAAGGAAATAGACATACAAGCCCAGGAAGTGCAGAGAGTCCCAAATAAGATGAAC